TAGATCGATCGTTTAGGGGATAACGCGGAGGTAGAGGTAAAGATCGGCAGGTGAAGGGCGATCAGTACAAGGCGATGGATTGTCGGATCAGATATGATGGAGGGAGGGGAGGGGGACAAGAGAGGCAGGGAAGAGTCAAGTCAAAGGAAGGGGAAAGAGTGAGGGTAGGAAAGAGTTCCAAGGGGAAGGGGAAGAAGAATCAGGGGAGATATGATTTGATCCGAGCGGACAGATTGATAAAAAGAGGAAGTGAAAGAGAAGGGGAAAAGAAAAAGTGGGTATAGGGTGGAAAAAGGTTGAAGTTGTTTGGGGCTGATGGCTTGATGGCTGATGGCTGATGGCTGATGATGATGATGATGATGATGATGATGCTGATGCTAATGATGATGACCGGAAACTGATAACCCCCCGGCAGAGCGAGAGAGCGGGCGAGGGAGAGAGGGGCCAGACTGCTCGGGGAACGATTCCATGTTACTTACCAGGATGGAAATTTTCCTGTTCGTTCTGCTTCTGACTGTTTTTTTTTGGGTTCTTTTTTTTTCTTTGCCTTCTTCTTCTTATTTCTTTGTTTTGGGAAGTAAGGTATTTTGTTCCGAAATGCTGTGTAATGTGCTTGTTTGGGGATATCGGAACGCGGTGTCAAAGTGCTGGCTGGCTGTCACTCACTCACACCCAGTAGAGTGGTCTTATCACAACTAATCGCCGCCCTTTCGTTATCGATCTCCCAGGGGGATCTACGACCGGGGGGTGGGAGTTCCCTTTCTGTACTAGAGTGTCGAACGATAAAAGTCCAGTCTTGTTCTTCCTTGGAAGTAGTTTTTGCTTTTTTGGCTTTTGGAGAGGAGAACAGCCCTGCAGAGGCGAAAGAACAGTGGGTAAATCCGACAGGGTGGAAAAAGAAATCAGATTGTCAGCACCACCGTGGCATTTGGACTGATCAGAAAAATGGGGGTGACTTTTCTGGTTGTGCATGGATTGGCAATAGGGAAGTTTGCTCCCTTTCCCATTTTTTTTACCCTGATGGCCGTTTTGTTTTCCATTCCAGCCAATTCATCTCGCAAGCTTGTCCCCAGATCGAATCATTCGGCTCCACCACGACCCAATACGATTTAGTACGCTGGGCCAGCGGGGCTGCTGCCTTCCTCTTCGGTCGCTAGCGCCGAGACTGTGGAATAAGCCTTATTCCACGAGTGGCGATTGGCCTTCGCCGCATTTCCTTCTCAAGTCAGCCAGATTCTTCGCGCCCTCATTGGCTCTGCCGGAGATTCCATCTCGGTCTTCCGAGCTTCTAGTATCATGCTGGTCGTCGCGCTATTTCACTCACTCGGCAGTGGGTGAACCTTTCTCATTTTGAGTCTAGGCCGAAAACGAAATTTATGTATCAAACTGGAGGGGAAAACGGGGAAATGAGAAATAAAAGAAAGAAAAAGCAGACAGATACGTAGTTCACTCGTCTGCCGCTTAGGCATCGGACTAGTTGAGAACTAGGTTGGCTGCATAAGAGTCCGTCCGTACTAGCAAACAACTCCCGACGTTTCTCATAAAACCCACCGGAATTGGCGTGTTGTCACCCGAGCGACGGGGCTGAACTGACGAATGGTTGGATCTATCCTTTAGTCTTCGGTTTACAGGTGCTAACTACTAAGCACCTTTTGGATGTCCTCCTGGCTCTGACATATTCCGATTTGCACGGACGGAGAGACAATCAACCCCGTTCCAGCCCAGGCGTGTTGCGATCATTGATGCTTGGTGATATCATTGTCCAAATCAATGGGTCCAAAGAAACGCCATGCCTTTCACTGTCTTCTTGGTTCCTTTTCCAGTTGATCGATATTGTGATAGGTGCCTGTAATGAAATCAACATTTGATCATCAAGCCTAGTATACTTAGATGCTTCAAGCGTCCATAGTCTATCAGGCGCGAGTAGTCCAGCTTCCCGCCTCTTCAACCTACTCCGGATCCCGTACTATCTTCCGATTTAGGTACCTTTGCTCCTGCTGATCTAGGCAATTGATTATCTTGTCAGATAGCTAGATTCTGGATGGACTCGTCCAAGATCAGACACTAACAAAAAAAAGACATGGATCTGTTCCAATCCAGACCGGATTGACGTTTCTATTGCTTGTTAGTCGATTCGCCGTCCATGGTGTGATTGGAGAACTTTTTTTTTCCTTTTTGTCAGAAAATGAAACAGAACCGAAGGGAAGGTTGGGGGGGAAAAAAAGCAAATCCGCACATTCTGTATGACCTGGCGTGATTGATATCATGATGCGATATGATATGATATGATCTGATCTCTGATGATCTGATACGGTCACATTACCAAACAGACCGATAACCCTGGTTCCCGAGTCGGTCCCTTTTTCTTCCTTTACGGAACTCTCCCTCGCGAAACATCACCTGCCAGGCAGGCTGACGCTACCTAAAATTAGGTTACGGTGTACGTAGGTTACTAGTGGTTCCCAACCCATCAGCTTGTACATTATTAATCTAGATTCTCGGATTTTAGTTGCTCCCTTTCGGATCATAATTACCGTCCTTACACAGTTCGAGCAGGTGGTTTAGCTAATGTACTCCGTAGTAAGTTATGTAGGGAGAGTACTGTAACGACTGTAGATGGGGGGGGGGGGCAAAGAGAGACAGCTGAGAGAGCGTGGCAGTAGGATAGAAGTTGCCACCCAGCAGCAGCAGCGTGCGTGCCAAAAATACCACGGACTGTACAATGCTCACTCAGCCTTCCACCTTCTTCCCCCATCGCCCCTCTCTCCCTTTTGCCTTGCCTCGGTTCCCGGGGATAAGAACGGACTTTCCACCAGCCCCCCTTTAAAATAATATCCCGAGTTTCATAGGGTTCGGACAAGGAGGTAAAAACTACGGAGTGATGAACCAGACAGTACGGGGATTCGGCCAAGGTTGGGGCCATTCACTAACCATCTCTCTACTCATACAGCTACAATGGATCGATCGCTGTCCGCTTAGACTATTTCACATTGGCTGTCAGCCATCGCCCAACATCTTCCTTGGCTATGCGGGGGAGGCGTAACGATCACAGCCTGTTCGAAAGCGATAGGCTGGGAAGGATAGCTGGAACTGGTTAATTTGCTGTCTGCCTGTACCCCAAATCTCAATCCAAATCGCAGGTTTAGAGAGAGAGAGCAACAGAATAAATTACGTAGGCGCCAGCCATGGGGTGCATGCTACTTTTCAGCTGGGGTGTCTGTAAGGCTGTTTACACGGTCACCAACAACGCACGCAAGGCGAATCTGGATCTGGGACGAAGGCAGCAGCAATCAATTAAGGTTTCTCCGTAAACGACATCCGATCCAACACTTTCAGCTCCACGCGAATGATACATGTCCCTGCAAATACAGACAGTACTTGGGTGGTCTGGAAGGTACTGTATTTGTGTGTCTAATACGGAGGAGCTTGTTGAGAGTTTTGATGGGCGTTAGATGCTTTCTACTAGTCAGGGTATACGGCGGAGTGATCGGTGGAAATTGAGCCATCATCATGCAGCCAGCGCCCGATCATTCCCGGTTCGAGGCAAAAGAAGATAGGTCGAGCCTCCCCAAGGCAGCAGGGTAGCAACAGGGGTAAAATCACGGGCTCGTCTCTCCGTGGTATCTTGCAAACACAGGACCTGTTACAGTTTCGAGGCTGGAAAAAGGATGTGTAAGTGTAACAATGATTGGATACGTGGTCTGTGAAAGGAGGGCCCGGGAGACTGATTATCATGACTTATCGATCTGCCAGACCGACTTTCTGCCTCCATATGTAAGATGATCAGCTCAGCTTATCTCCGGACAAAAGTACCCTTGCCAATGAGTAACTCATTGTGATCGGCATGGTATTCTAGAACACTGAGTGCGAGGCTGCTTGACCAAAGAAAGAGATTCGATATACGCCAGTAATGCATGCCTATGAATATACCTTTTATGCACTCGTGGTGACCTTTGTGATATCCACCACTTCCGGGGCATGTACAACTTACTCAAGATGCACCTGGCCTCGGTGCAGCGAAACTGGTTTACTGCGGACGCTACGGACTATAGGATCTTAGCTTTATCGTCCCCGCGACGAGGTCCGGAGTATGAGCAACCCGGTTCAGCAGAGTTCGAATATCCGGAGACCATATTCGACGAATATGCCCAATGACTGATTTCACCCGCATCAGACGGTCCGACCTACCCATGGATGGCTACAGCGAATCTCCGGGTTAGGCGCAATAACCCCTCAAGTCAACCGGAGAGGCGGAAAATCAGCTCACATGGTGTCTCGGATATGCCGGGGTCCTTGTCCGAAAGGACTCGTGAGTCTTTCTAGGTAGAGATGCCATCGTCACATGAGAGGATCTGGAATCAAGAACGCAAAGATTCTGTGATAGTTATAGTTGGTTATGGTGCCAGCGCTCAGACCTCGACCAAGAGCCTTCTCAAGAGCTGACGGTTCATTTACAGTTGTTGCAAGGCTAATGGTATTGACAGTCATGACAAGAATCCGAATGAAAAAGAGAAAGAAAGAAAAAAAATCCTTTCCATGCTGGTATAAATCACCGAACCCCAAACCTAAAAAAGATACCCAGGTACAGTACAGTACACACATATCCGACACCCACTGAGGGCTGGGAAGAAAATACCATATATCTAGAGTTATGGGCACAGTGTGGATTTGGTCCATAGGACCGCTTCACTCACGGAGCCCATTCCACTCACATCCCAACCTTCCGCAATCGCTCGCATACCCATATTCAATTCGTCGCAACTCATTCGATCATCAAGCATTCAAATAAGAGGGATAAAGAGAAGAGTTTATCACTTTACCGCCGGCCGTTCACGGTCATACTCCGAACAGGCTGAACTGACATGACCCGACGCTTGCGCGTTCATGGTGACAAGGGCTGCGGCTGCAGACTTGAGTAGCAACAACCTTTATCCGAGCACGTGTGCAGACATCACGCGAGGCCACATCACCCAGCTGTTCCCGCAACACGCGCACCATGCTTAGACCTGCTCAGCGCCCCAACCCTGGTCGGTCTCGCGCATATTAGACGGAGGCTCGATGGAGGGAATGAACTCCAGGGCAATGTATCCCAGACCGATGAAGCCGACGAGGGAGCCCGCGACATAGCGCAGGACGTTATCGTGCAACAGGATCGACCCGACGAAGATGTAGACTGGTTCCTGGTGTTAGCGCAACACATACAAAGTTCTATCTCCAACGAAACTTACAGCCACCGCGTCCCAGGAAGGAGAAAAGGAAGGACGCGTAGCGGTAGACGTAGTCGGGAACGTTGGGCAGGAACTCCAATCCACCAACAACTGAGCATCGCGGTTAGTCTAGCCCTATTCCACGGTGGTTATGGTATGAAACTTACGGAGACCAAAGATAATCACATAGACGCCAACGATGATGGAGCTCATGGACGCAGGGAAGAACTGGGAAATACCACCCAAGACCATGAGCACGCCAACGACGATGTTAACGATTCGGCTGGGTGTTGGAGTCTCGTTAGTTGTTGTGCTTGCGGTGATGACAACGATGGATCTGGAAAAGAGCGGGCCCAACGTACAAGATGTTCGAGAGATCCATTTTCGCGATTAGGTCGACGCAACTGCGTATATACTGGATGGTAGTAAAACTTTCGTTTTAGTGGCAGACGTAGCCGATTGAAGTCGGGAAGAGGGAAGAGTGTCTATAGAGCAATCACGTAAGTTGGAATTCAACGCTCAAGGGGACCTGACAGCGGCGGAGACGAGCTGTTGTCCCCTATCAGTCATACCTGAGTGGCTAGATGAAAGACAGTCAAGTCAGTAAGCTTGACTCCAACCCGCAGCCAGCAATATCAGAGGCAATCCAGACTCACCTCGTGAACTAAGAGACCTGGGCAGGCAGCAGTAAGAAAATGAAGGAGACGGAGAGTGCGGAAGGGAGATCGGAGAGATGGTGAGGCTTAAGCTCTCTCGAGTTGTCGCGCTGTCGCAAGCTGCGGGTCCGCCAAGGCCAACCTTACCCATGACTCAGCAATCGCCGGATCTGATCGTATCCACGCGAGATTGCAACCAGGTCATGTTTGGTCGTTGGAAATCATCTCTGCCAGCTATTTTCGTCTAAAACTGGTGGCTCGTGTTGGCAAGAATATCATTATGTAAATGAGGCCTGCATGCGCATCTGCCTGTCACTACTCAATGCCTAAAGAACTCACACTATCATGTCTTCAAAACAGTCGGATGTCGCTACAGCCGTTGACGTCATACCTCACGCTAGGTTGCCATGATATCCGCTTTGTGAGATGATAGGGCGTTTTCAGATCCTGTGCAATAAATATCTAATAACTGAACAATCCCCGCAGGCGCTGTACAACGGTGAAGTCACAGTATCTGTGATACATGACAGGCCCGGTTCTCTACTAATCCTGCAAAGCCGAGAGCATTTCAAACCATACTCCTCGCTCAGTCGACGCATACACAAATTGTGCGAACACAGCACAGTAGACATTCACGACGCCATGAGATCACCCTGCTTATTCTCAAGCCTGACAGCAGACAGTCCGTTAGCCAGCCGACTCATACTTACACAGTCGCGCCCCAGCTCCGCATATATCGCCTCCAAGTCCGTGCCCAGCCCGACCTTATCAGCCGTCTCCAGACTGCGCCCGTCCAGGAACGGGGCCATCGAGGGCCAGACGCTCTGGACATTGTTGAGGAAGAGATCCGCCCCCAGATCCCCAAGACCCTTGATCTCCTTGATGAGCTGCCTGGTCTTCTTCCGATCATTCTTCGCTTGCTTCAACAGGTTGTTGAGGTCACCCTCTAGTGTGCCTCTCGCTTAGCTCAGGCCAAAAACACCAGCCAGAAGAATGCTAATCGAATGGAAAACCTACCATACTTATCATTGACCAGCTCCACCATCTTCCCCAAATTCGTCGCCCCTTGCTCTCGATACCGATTGTAGCCCCCATCCTTCAGGGCCATCGCCCGCTCCTCCCAGCTGCTTTCGCTCAGCTTGCGGATATCATGGAACCCGACCTCGATGAGATGGTTGACGGCGCGCTGCGAAAGATCATGGGAGATCGGACGCGACTTGAGCATCGCATCGATGACCATCGCGAGCAGTGTCTCTGGTGAGCCGTGCAGGGTTCCCTTCGCGATCGTTGTCCCGTAGAGCGGCGGACGCCCATAGTCTTGGACGGCTTTTTGCAGCTTCGGCTTGCTTATCGTTGTAGGGCTCTGTGGTTTTCCGGGGGTGTGCTCTTCTGATTCATCCTCTTCTGGATCGGCCTCCTCCTTCTCCTCCTCCTCCTCCTCCTCCTCCTCCTCCTCTTCGTTGCCATTGTCATCCTGCTCCAAAGCAGCATCCTCACCATAATCATCATCATCAACACTCTCAACCTGCCCATCATACCCATCGTCCTCCTCCGCTACATCCTCAATCATGCCCTCCTCAGCGTCATCCCCTCTTCCCGCATCTTTCTTAACAACCTTGCGAGGAGGCTGGTCACGTTCCCGCTCGCCTCCAGCGCTAGCCTGTCCAGTACCCGACTCGTCATCAACATCCCTCTGATCGCGTTTGCGTTTCACAGGGATGGGCGTGCCGTCCTCCGTTTCGGGATAGTCCTCCACCTGCGGGGATTTGTACTTCATGTCGGCGGTCGATTTACCCAGGTATTCACCTACTGTAAAGAAAATTTGGCCTGGTTGGAAGTAGGATAAACGTAACTGACAATGCTAAGTATGCGATCGTTTGGTTAGAAGCATTCATTTTTACAAGCGAGTAGTCCAGGGAATTGGATCGATGGTACTCCTATGATTTCTCCGCGTGCGATGATGGCGTCATCATGAAATAAGAACTTCTCCGGTTCACCGCTGGGCACCTCCGCCCCCATTCGCTGTCAGATGTGTCCCGGGAAAAGCGGACGCTTGGCGTTTTTGGGCAATGGTCTGCAGCGGTTTTACTATTTCGGAGATCCATGGTTTTACATCTGGATAAGTGCTGTATTTTGAATCTACATGCAACATGCATATATATGCAGAAAATGCAATTGCAAGGAACTAAAGCTTGGCGCGGCTGGACAAAACCCTCTGCACCAACGCGGCCGCATCCTCCGCACACCCGAACGAGGCCTGGTACCCGAACCCGCCATGACCGTAGTTGTGCACGACGGCCACGCCGCCGATGCGCTCGGCCTCGACGCGGGGCCCGCCCTCGCGGAGGGGCCGCAGGCCGACCCCGTGGCGGATGACGTCCAAGCCCTCGATGCCCTGGCCCTCGCGCACCAGCGCGGGGCACAGCGCGACGGCGCGCTTCATGATGCGTACGGCGAGGTTGGGGTCCGGCAGGGGATCCCACTGGTGCTTCTGGTAGGAGCCGCCGATGACGGTGCCGCCGCCTGCGGCGCGCGTCATCATGTAGACAACCTCGTCGTCGCCGTCGTCGGAGCCGGAGATCGAGACCATCTGGCCCGGGTCGTTGCGCACCACGACGATCTGCCCGCGCGCCGGGTAGAGCTTGGCGTCCTGGACGCCGCCGAGCGTGCGGGACGCCAGGCCCGTGCAGTTCACGACCACGTCGGGCTTGTGGCCCGTGTGGTGCAGGTGTGGCGTGTTGGCGGCGTCGGTGATGTGCTTGAGCACGGCGCGCTTGAAGACGACGCCGTTGCGCCGGCATTGACCCACCAGCCAGGGTAGGTAGATTGCCGTGTTGATGCAGACGGAGGTGAATTTGGAGGCGTTGTCAATGCCCGGGGCTAGTTGGTCGGCCGGGATTTCTTGGAACTGGTCCAGGTTTGTTAGCTAGGGTTGTATGGAGGCGAATGGGGCGGGTTCAAGGGTACATACGTCCGGTACAACATCCTTATACCAGGGGTTCTTTTGCACCAGTTCGGAGAACCAGTCCCCGGTTGCGGAGCCTTGGTCTTTGGTACGGTTGTAGACGATTGTTTCTAGAGGCTATTTAGCTCTAATGGCAGGATGGGAAGGTGGGTAGGTGATATTCATACCTTGGAAATGAAGTCCTGCCTCGGGGTGCTTCTCGGTCAGCTCCTTCAATGCTGGCCAGGTGTTGCGCTCCCATTTCTCATGGTCACTTCCACGCTTCCCCACACTGACAGATGTTAATTCAATAAGCCGGGACTCTTTGGCATCGTTATTCTTTCTGAAGGAACGCACGGGAGATAATTGGCACCAGCCCACGGGGAGGCATATTCTATGTCATAGTCTCCGGGCATATGCTTCGCGAGGACGGTGATACTATTCGAGGGGTCCTTCGAAAGAAGATACGCAGTGGTAAGACCAGATACCCCGGCTCTGAGACCAGAGATCAGTATGAGCAGCGCAGACAACAGGCGGGGTCAAGCATACCCCAGAACCACGATCTTGTTTGCCGCCATTGAAACTGCTACTGTTGGGTGGTGAGCGTATCGATTCAATAGAAGGCGTAGTTCTCGACTAAGATATAGAATGCCAATGGAGAATTATGAGAGAATGTGCTGATCGATAGTCAATCAGTTAGTTGCTGTGAGTCAGGTCAGTCAACCGAGGAATGATAACGCTTCCCCTGCGCAAGCAGAGCTTATCGCATGCGGGCAATTGGGATGCGCTCCGGATTGATAAGAAAGAGCCACCCCGCTCAGCCGCGGGACTAACTAGACTGGGGGCTTCCCGCCAAGCTGGACTGCTACAACCCCGTCCTCAGGCATCAAGACTGGATAGGATAGGATAGGATAGAACATCTGTTCCTTGACCGTTGCCGATAGGATCTTCGGCGACACGCACTTAATCGCGCTGACGTCATATTTTGAGATGGGATATTTCTAAGTGTCAAAGATTCAAAGCACAGGCAGGGTCCATTGAAAATAGCCCCGTGCTCCACTAGATCAATCAGCAGCATTACTATTGGAGTCCGATCACGGAACGAGTGGAAAGCCGTCTTCGCCAGAAAGCAGTGAAGTCAATCCGGTCCGCGAAGCAGCGGGACGCCTGCTGCCATCGATCTGGTAACAAGACGCCCAGGAACGGAGCAATTGACTCGCTGACAGCTCACGTCCATGTTGTGCAGTTATGTCCGTGTTCTGCAGCCTTGCTACTCCGGACCTCGAAGTCCTCGCCAATAGACCGTCCGACAGGTCATTTCATGCACAAACAACGCAGAAGGATCCAATAGCGGAGTCGCGTAGGGGGGCGATCGCGCTTCAACCGTTTAATGTGAATTGGGCGGTGTGCTTTGAGTGCTTGAGTGCTTAATTGCTTCTTTAGGATTTCCCTCCAAGATTAAGGGCAGTGCACTATAATTTATCACGCTTATTCGGTTGTGGGATCGGATTTGAGGATGAATGAAGCGCGCAATCCATGGGTGAAAGTGGTAAGTTACAGTAAGGAACGCGTCCTCATTTGATGGACTCGGAGGGTGTTGTGGGGATGGGACAGTGTGTAAGTACAGATTACCGATCTGCAGAGCCCGTTACCGATAGGGTCTTTCAGGCCTCTGGGCACTGAAAGTGGGCAGACAGTCTGAATGAGGTGGCTTCCCCTCATTGAAGAGAGATGAATGTGTATTGACAGGGACTTTGCAACAATGGCATGGCTCTGACCGATTGAATGTTGGGCTGGAGTGACCGCTCCCCGCGGATGTGCAAAAAGACTCGATTGAATGCCAGTACCACTGGGTAAGTACTAGGTAACCATCTGGTAATATCTCGGTATACCTTTCGTCATCGACTACCACCGCCCCGGTGAGTGACCCAATCATGCGTTGATTATTAGCTCACCGCCTCTGATCCCGGTGCGTAACGAGAAAAAAACCCTTGGTAAGAGGGATGTACGAGCATAACAGACGCCTCCTCCGCAGTTCGCCGTCCCGAAAAGAAAAGTCTCGCGTGTACTCCGTCCGGTAGATCGTGTGTTGCTTTTCTTCCTCCCGCCTTTTCTTCCTTCCCATTTACCACTCACTACTATTCCTTGCCTGAATAACACTTTCTTCCCTTCTCTCCTCCCCCTCCCCCTCTCCCTCCTCATTCATATTCATAGTGACTATTTTTCTCCTCTCTCTCTCCCCCCACATTCTTCTTCTCTTATCTTCTCTCTTTGCTCGACGAACCTCTCTGTATCTTGTTGTTCGTTCCCCAAATGAGTGCATCTCGTCGAGCAGACACTATAACCAACTATGGCGGACGTTCCGAACGGTGGCAGAATTGTGCCCATAGTCGCGGCTCCCCGTCAGCATTATTCCACTACTCCCGCCGTTGAGTCGGTGGGCAATCAACCCCAACCACAACCAAAGATCTCCAAGTCGTCTAAAAGTACGCGCCAAAAGGCCGCCGAAGCCGAATGTTTGGAGATTCCGTGTCTGAACGAGCTAGGGCTCTATGCGCTCCCGACCGAGGGCGACGGTACGTTGCTCTTCGCCCGCCATTGGCTAGCTAGCTTGTCCCTTGGCGCTCTTACTCTAGTGTGCCCTGTTTTCTGACCGTCAATTGTAGGCAATTGCCTGTACTATGCCCTTTCCGATCAATTGTACGGCGACTTCCTTCACGCTGACCAGATCCGCGTTCGTCTTGCGGATCACATCTTGGCCAACAGGGACTACTTCATGAGCTTCATTGCTGCTGCTGGCGGAGAACGCAGGGCACCACGCCGGGCAGCAGCCAAAGCAGCCAGGCAAACCTATTGCTCCTCGTCATCAGCCAGTCCCGCGCCCCTCTCGGCCCGGGACAAAGAGCGTAGCTTCGACACTAGGGTGGCTGAATCGCGAAAGAAAGGCGTCTGGGGTGGCGCTGAAGAGATTCAGGCCTTCTGCCAGTCTTTCAAGAGGGATGTCGACGTCTACACAATGTATGGAATCCAAAACTTCCGCGACGTTCACGCACCCGCCGATGAGCACCGAGAGAAAGTGCATATCGCATTTCACGTAAGTAAACACAAACACTATGGCGTAGGTTAAGTTCTAACCCTCCCGCGTAGGATTTCCATCATTATTCATCGGTCCGACATACGAGCGGGCCACATACTGGACCACCCTCTATAGCACCCATTGACAAAGCACGTCAGGAGGAAGCATCCTCCGCGAGCTCGACTGTCGTGGACGTGGCCACCCCGTGGAAGATCTCTGC